CTCTCTCTCTCTCTCTCTCTCTCTCTCTCTCTCTCTCTCTCTCTCTCTAAGAAAGTCAAACCCCTATCCCCATCTTCCTCTAACCCAGTTTCCCATTGAAAGCAAGTGTGTGTGTGTGTTTCCAGAACTACATTTTACGTGAGAAATCAAAAGCTTTACCCACTACCCTAGTAAAAAATCCCCCAACTTTGTTAATCTGCCCTAATTCATATCATATCAGCGGCCAACATTCTAGCAAATACATTGTCAATCACATTAGATAGATCCAAAATTAAACCAATCAATAAGATAACAAATCCATTTTCAATTAGATTAATTAATCCAAATCCAATCTGATTCTAACAAATGACAGTGAGCATTACCTGTTGAGAGAATGACAGAGAAAGCGAGGAAGACGAAAACTAAACCAGAAATATATGAAGATGACGAAAAGCAGTGCAAATGTCAATCCGATCTAAATCCAAAGTGCATAATAAGATCAGTTCCTTTTGTTGTTCTTAATTTCAAACCAAAAATAGATGAAGATGATGATAATAATATAGAAAAGACATATAAATATAAATTTGCATATATGTAGGGTTTTGTTTCGATAAAAATGTGAAAAAAACAAAACTTGTTATTCTTCCAGTTGAGCTATATGTGTATCCTGATCATCGACTTTGTTCTCCAAAAGATAACTACTATGATCAGCATCACCGTAGTTTGGATAAATCATCTCAAATTTGCTCAAATCATGGTCTAGTATCCTCTCCACCTCCAAATGTTCCTCCACATCGCCTTCACTTGACCCACCTTCTTCACCCTCTTCGTCATTTCCAGGAGAACGAAGTTTGATCAACCCTTTCATCGATCCATACCCATCAACAGCCCATTGTTCTTTCTTTATGTCAACTAAAACCTCTCGAGATGGAGAAAAAGTCGGTGTAGGGAGTACAGAAGGAGTAACAGGGCATGGAGAAACCATAGATGTATTCTGTTTGTCATTTCCTTTCTTCCCCTTCCAGTTTTTGTTGTTAAGTGGGCCCATAGGTTTTGAAGAATACGGAACGGAACCTGAAGGCTTCGTGTTCGGATTCTGGAACTTGAGCTGCTCTGGTAGCGTCGGTGGCCACATCCCGTAACGACCACCTCGGTTGTTCAATGTCTCTTGAGACATGATCGGAAACCGCCACTGTCATTGGTATTGATTCCTGCAACCGATTCATCTCTAACGTTGCATTCCAACGACAACTCTCCGGTGAGATTCACTATATTTCGTGGGTTAGCTAACTGTTTAGTTCCATATCAGAGGTGCTTTGGTGGTGGAGCACCACGGTAGTAATGGAGTTTCAATGCTTTTGGAGGTAAGGGGGAAAGACAAAGGTGGGTCGGTGGGTTTATTGACGAGAGAGAGAGAGAAAGAGAGAGAGAGAGAGAGAGAGAGAGAGAGAGAGAGAGAGAGAGAGAGAGAAGGGGGTGGGACCCCTATCATATTAAATTTCATTTTTCCTTTTAAAAAAAATAATAGAAAACCTCATAAATGGTCCTTAGGGTAGTGAAATGACGGAAATGCTCTTCACTTAACGAACAAATAATGACGGAGTGAACCATAAGGACTAAACATTAAATTTTTTGAAACCATAGAGACCATCCGTGAGGTTTTTTAAACTTAGGGACTAAACTTCAGATTTTGGGATACCACAAGGACCATTTATGAAGTTTTTCTAAATACTATATTGTAATAATGCTAACATGTATATATTTATATATGTATTCATAGAGTTAAATTCATATGTGGATGAACATCTATTGTGCGAACTTGTATGGACAATGTTATCCTGTGAGAATGAATAAGAAAATAGCTTGTTTGATAATATGAATACATTCAACATTATATAACTATTGTTATTATCACGCATTCTCACTAACTAAATTGTCTATAAGGGTAGTATGAACTTTTTTTATGATTCTCGTTTTGTCATAATGTGTTCTTGATAATTGTATTTTGTAAGAACTAGAACGAGTGAATAACGATACGTGAGAACAAGAATTAATGAGAATTGGTGAGAATGCATGTTAGTAAAAATAATTATATGAGGTTGAACGTATTCATATTACCAAACAATTTATTCTCTTGGTCGTTCTCACAGAATAGCATTATCCACACACGTCCACATAATAGATATCATCCACATTTAAACCTAGTATGTATGCATATGTTTGTCTATTTACTTAAATATTATTGTATTAGGTGTCTAAGCCAATAACTAAATTGGTATATACTTGAATTATTAACAAAGTCCTTTTTGGTTGCCCTCAAACATGGTAATGGAATAGGATGACTTTGAGAGAGAGAGAGAGAGAGAGAGAGAGATACTGGTTTATTGATTTATTATATGATTAATAAATAGCAATAAATGAATTTATTAATATGTTATGAGAATAATATGTTAATTAGAAATAGTATTATTTAATTAAGAATTAATCAGAAATTAATTGGAATTAATTTTCGGATTAATTAAATTAATTGAAAGTACAAGGACCTAAGTTGTAATTGTTCAATAGTTGAACAAGAGATGGATTATAGAATAGTCCTAGGATGGCTGAAAATTATAGGCGTCCTTAGGATTCTAGAATATGCCTTGGAGATAATTAGGAAACCAAAATAATTACATGATTTAAGATATTTTAATTAAGTAAGGGTTATCAGGGATTCCTAATGCAGCTATAAAAGGGACCTTAGGGTTAGAAATTTCAGCCACTCCTTCTAGAGATAGCCGAAATTCACCTCTCATCCTTTCTCTTAAGAAGTTTTCGTAGTTGCTAGGGTTTGGGTGTGAACCTGTTGGATTAGGTGTCTAAGTCCATAACTATTTTGGTATGTACTAGTAGGATGAATTGTGGAGAAAGAGGATTTACTATGAATTAATAATGTATTATAAGAATAATATATTAATTGAGAAATCATATTATTTAATTAGTATTTATCATAAATTAATTTGGAATTAATTTGGTGATTAAAAGAAACTGATTAAATTAACGGGGACTGATTATGTAAATCAGTAATATTTATAGTTTGGGCTCATGGACCTTATTGGTGTAGGGTGGACGAAATCTCTATGATAGTCCATAAAGATTTCGTCAAAGGCTTGCCAAATAAGAGTCCATATGTTGTTTAGGGCTTAAGCAGGGGAATTAATGTAACGCCCGTGATTATGGGATAAGCATTAAAGACAATGTAGGGCGTGTTCGGCACGGAGCATTTAGGAGCGTTTGAGAGCTTCTAGCTTCTAGCGTTTGACAAAACGCTCCGTTTTGAACAGAAAGTCTTGTTTGGCACTACAAGCTTCTAGCGTTTAGTTTAAACGAAATGCTCCAAATCCAAAAGCTATTTCATGTAGCGTTTAACAAAACGCTACAAGCTACAAGCTACCCGCTACCCGCTACAAGCTACTCGCTACCAGCTAGTTTTGCCGAACACGCCCGTAATAGTTTAGGTCAACTATTGTAACGTGTTTTGAAGTAATAAGAATGAATTATGTGAATTTATGTGTCTTATATTTAATTATGATGATATAATAAATTATGGATAAAAAAATAAGCGTCGAAAGTAAAATGTTAGATATAGCCGATATATGAAGAAAGTTGTAGTGGTTGAAACAAGGATTCCGGAGATATAAAGAATACCGAAATCCGAGTTATAACGAAGAAGTTATGACATGTCGAAGTTTCGCGACAGAACCGGCACGACGCTGTGTGACGTAAAAAAAAGTGAATTTACGATAGATGACTTTTTAGCCTTAGCGATCTAAATGAAAGTCGTAGTATATGTTAAACCGAGAGCGTGCATAAAAAGAACATCCAAATCTGACTTCGTATGAAGAAGTTATGATTTTTCTAAGGATTCGGCGTAGTAGTGTACAGCCCAAAATTCGATTTATAGATCGAGCAATCTTTAGCCGACACAACCTTAACAAGAATCGAATATCTCGTCAATAGTAGTTCAACGGTAAAAAGACAGATGAAAACGAATGTCGGATGAAGAAGTTATGAATTTTTAATGGACTTTTCTTGTCCCGACCTATTAAAAATATAACTTTAAAAATAAAGTCAAAATTAGTTGACGGAGTCTAAACGAAAGTTGTAGAGTATAATCTCACCTACGCGTGGATATAAAGAACGTCAAAAATGGAGTTCGTATGCGAAAGATATGAATTTATGAAGTTCGGAACACAAACTTCGAGGTCTGACCAAACTCACGACGTGAGGTAGTTGATCGACACCTCTCAAGCCTAGAAGACACGCGGCAAGCCTACGAACTGATCGGGATCGAGCTCACGACGTGAGAGTCGATTTTTCAGCCTATAAATAGAGAGCCAACCCTCTTATTTCGGTTTACACAAAAACGCAACCTCTCTCTCGTATTGCTGAATTTGAGCTATGTTCCCGAGCCGACGATCGCTAACTGCTGACAGTGTCTAGTTAGATTCTATCCAGTCACGCTACTAAGGTGATTGTATAGTCACTTTCATCTTACAAATATATATGAAGTATTTTATATAAAATACGTGCTATGTGTATATATGTTGTTTGTTTATTTGAAATGAATGTTGAATGAATGTTTTATACAGGTTTTAAACTGTAAATGTATTTTTATCTACAAATATGTTG